GTAGTTTCCATGATCGTAAATTTAATAAACCTTTATAACATTTATAGCTCAATAAGACTGCTCTCGACTTCCATCGTATAAATTTGGAAAATGCATGATAATATTCCAAGAGACTTGCTTGTTTACAAATGTGGGTAAACGGTATGGTTAATAGACTTGTCATCCCGCACACGACGTTTATAGGCTGCTTTTAATTTCTGTATTCGAAAGATCGTAAAAATATGCTGCCAAATCACAAAACTAATAAAATATTTTGAGACTGCGACTCTGTCTCTCTTGTTCACTTTGAACTTTAATGCGAAAATTACATCGAACAACAACCCTTCGACTTGTATTACGGGTTCGTCACAGAGCCCGCCACAATCATCTTGTTTTGAATAAACCCCCGATACAGCACATTTTCATATTTTTTTCTAATCCAGCCACTATTTTTAAGTAAGTAAACTTTTACTGTCCAAAAAAGGTGTTTTATGGTTTCAGGTATACTTACGCTTATTCAGTTACAACTACAGAATTCAACTATACTGTAAACCCCTATTATTGAAGGTTCAATGTTGTAATAATTTCTAGTGATGTTGTTAAAAACTTTGCGATGGTCTTTACAGAGCTCTGGGGATCTCCCAGGCCTGCAGTAAGAATCAAACTGGTACTTACATTGTGATATGGAGTGTAGATGACATAAGTACTGGAGTACAATAATGCTTAACAGGAAGACGCTGCGGTTTTATCCATAACGATCGAGCACGTGACCATGACTTTTTCACCGGGGAAATTCCCTAGTACGACTTTGTACCATAAAACAAAGACACTATTTTGTTAAGTTATCAAGGCCACGACTTTGGTCCATAAACAAGGCCACTTCTTAGTTACGCAAACCGGAAATCCTCCTTATCAAGGCCACGCCTTATTTTATCAGAGAAATCCTTTTATCATAAAACGAGGTCATCTGATTTTCCAAGATTAACTTGGTTTAGAAAAAAATAAAATTTTCAATCAAGAACTAGGGTAACGTTATATGTTAGTAACTTATTGGGCTACGAGCCGTTATTAAGCCCCCCAGGTGCGATCATGACACTGATGAAAATGGTTATAGGATACCTTAATTAAGCGTTTTCAACAAAAAATTTACCGAAGAAACCCTAAATTTTGCATAATCTTAATTTAAACTTCACTTCATTTCGTCGACATTGGAAGTTAAGTTGGTGAATTGTGATCGTTTCAGAAGGACAACTGTAAAAGGTTATGTTACTCCTTTCTCTACTACATTGAAATATGCTGGGTTTAACGTTTATGTTAACAGATGTAATAAAAGTAGTATAATAGGTATAATATTAAATAATAATATTTGTACATTTTAGTTCTAACAAAGAGGGAATCTATGGAAGATCCGAAAGTTGTTCCTTCCCCTTTCGAGTCAAACGGCTGATATAGAAAACGCGTTCGAAGTTAATCGGCGGTCGCTAACGAAAAAAAATGCATTGCAAGATAGAATTATATTATAGACGCGCGCGTACGCAATTACTCCTATTTACTTAACCTAACGAATGAAACAATAAGGTGCTTCATTTACATTATGATTTACAAGTACCAGATCAAGGAACATCGCAATAACAGGTAAGCCACTTTCATATTAAATAGTTCCTTTTGTTTCATTAATATACCTTTTTTAAATAAAGATCCTTATGATATCACGGACACTTTCAATTAGCCAACAAAGTTACTACCTGCATCAAAGTTCCTATATACAGGGTGAAAATTTTGTCTAGAACGCTGAATATATCTTCAAAACAACTTTTCTTTTAACCAAAATTATATAACTCTGCTACCAATCTACGTAGGTACTTTAAATTTATGCATAACTAAAGAATTGTAGAGACTCATTCGACACCTGATAGAAAAACTTCAACATCCAAAAATGGTCACAGATGACATGTTTTTCTGCGGAATAAAGGAGAAAGACCAGGGGTGCTATTCTTGACCTCACTTGAATTGGTTCGTATTCGTTTTAAAACGATGTATGAAAATTCGCATACGACTATCATTTGCTATTCATGTGTAGCCTTCGTAACGCTTGTAATTTCAATTCGAATGATATGTTTGGCAACGTTGAATTTGGTAGTAGTAAATACCTTCATACGAGGTTTCCTTGACAACAGTTTGTATACACAACTATATACTTTCTTATAACTGAGCAAATTACAAAAAGCGATTAAGGGCCCCACAGACTTCCGACTTGTTCGTCCGATTTGCACGACGTGTAAATCGGATGGTACCTATGTCGAACAAGTACGACAGACTCCACATACCTCGTGTTTGATCGATCGGAAGGCAAAAAGTCGGATGTTGATATTTTACACGACGTACAAGTACGCCCGATTTTACACATGCACTTCCGATTTCTTTGTCCGATCGTGCCAACTGATTTACACGTTGTGCAAATCGGACGAACAAGTCGGTCTTCT